ATAGCATAAATTTGTTAACAAATACTACCATTTTATATCATTTTCTAGCTAAAAATTTGCTATAAAAATAATTTTTTGTAATTTTTTCGTTTTCTTTTTCTTTTTTTTTTTTATTTTTTCTTTTCAGATAGCCAAACGTCAAGCAGCATTAACATTAATTGCTTATTTAGCTTTATGGTCACCATACAATATGTTAGCAATGATGAATACATTAACCGAAAATGATGGTGTTTTCATGGATACATTAAATTTTTTGAATGCATTAATTGTTGTTAATCCGGTTGTTAATCCTATAATTTATGGCTTTTTTTAATATTTAATTATTTTTAAGTAACTCTTTTTTTCCTTATATTTATGCCATTTTTTTCAAAAATTTATTCAAAATTTTAATTTTAAAAATTTAATTATTTGCAACAAATTAATTAATTTTAATTTCACTTTAAATCACTTTTTTTCGACTTCACTTTAATTTTAATTAAGTTTGATTTTTATTTGAATTATTGTTTCATTTCCATAATTGTATATGTATATACATATATATATTTGAAAAATTAAAAGATAAAAATGAACAAAAAAAAAAAAAAACAAGTTCTTGCCAAATAGCATTAATTAGTGAATTGATATATGATATGTCAACAAACAATTGTTATTCTCAATTGATTTTCTTCTTTATTGTTTTTACCAAAAGTTAATTAATTAACAATGCTATCAAGAGATCTCGGGATGATCGTAATCGTCACGGTAATAAACGGTAATAAAAATTGCCAGATTATACATTAATTACTTACGAAGTTAATTACAAATCAGTGGATAAATCATGAAATTTTCAAATTTTCTAACCATTTCTATATTAATTATCCATTAATTTACTCATACAATTATTGTTTAATTGCTATCAAATTCCATTGAAGTAAATTTTATTTTAGAATATACTTTTTTAGTTCAAATTCAAATTTTTAGTTCAAATTTTGAAAAAAATTTTTTAAAATGTTAAATTTAATTTCGATATATTTTGAAGTTAAAGTAATTAGGCATATTTTAATGAGGAATCAAAAAGGTGCAATGTTCAAATATGTCAATAAATTATTCAAAAAGAGGAATATAAGTATTTGATTAATGATTTAAATTCCTTATTGATGGTCGATAAATTCAATTTCAGATATATTCTGCGAAGAAAGGAAAAGAAAAGAAGAAAAAAAGTCTCACCATACCAAATAATCATTGATAGCTTATTCATCATTTTTGACAATTCAACTTCGGAAATGATAAATTTTATTTTTTAATGTGAAGAGAAAAGAAGATAGAAATGTGATTGCAATAAAATGATTTCAAATATACATTTTAAATTCAAAATGAAATAATTTATCTTAGCCTAAATCAATATTATTACTACTTTTATTAATTTCATTCCGCTTATTCAGTTATTCATTATTATCTCAATTAATTAAGTCATATTAGGAAATAATAAAATAAATTGAAAATTTATAAAAGCATATTGTTCCGCATTCATTGCCAATTTTTCTCATGGATTTTGCTAGCTTATTAATCATCAAATATAAAATTTTCATAGATTTAAGATAGGGAAAAATTTAGAGGGAAAGGTTAAAGCTCTCTTTTTCATATTAAAACAGAGAAAAGTTTAGAGGGAAAGGTTAAAGCTCTCTTTTTCATATTAAAACAGAGAAAAGTTTAGAGGGAAAGGTTAAAGCTCTCTTTTTCATATCAAGATAGAGAAAAGTTTAGAGGGAAAGGTTTCAAGCACTCTTTTTCGTATTTCATTCAACCTTTCAAATATTATGAAATAATGGATAGGTGTGAAAAAGGGGTGAAATTAAATTGAATATTTTTTTTTCTTAAATTTGTGAATTAAACTTATGAAATTTAATTTGTCTTATAATGATTAATCATCGGGATAATTTTGGAAAATAAATTTTAAAATTATTTTAAAATTCGAAAAAATTAAAATTTTTATAATTGTTTAAAGATAGCAATACTTCAAAAGTTAACAATTGCTTCACATTTGCTTAATATTATTTACAGCAACAATTTGGTTGCAATACTGTAGCTAAATGATAGCCTGATATGGTAAAAGTGAATATAAAGTAAGTGAAAAGATTTGTATGATATCATACACATCGTATAAATACCGTATAAATACGCTACCGTACGAATGAAAAATTTGTACAACAAATAAACTAATAAAATATTACAAATGGAATTTTTCCATTTATCCTCCTTGTAGTAAACGAAGAAATTGAGGTATCTGACGGAAAAAATTACCATCACCTCCTGTCTCCTCTGATCCACCACCGGTAAATTGTGATATACTGTTAGAAATTAAGCCAAGTATCATGTTGGCACCGGAAGGATTCGTCAACCAATATGGTTGTACCGTTAAGTGAGCTGGTTTCAATGATGGTTGTGGATCAATAACTCGTACACGTGGATTTACCACTTCACCCGAAATTCCACGAAACCATGGTAATAGTCGTGGTGGTCGGGCTATTGGTGCTACTCTAGGTTTTGCCGGTGTAACAGCATCAATAATCACTGGTACTATAGCTCGAGGTGCTATAGTAGTTGCCAAAAATGGTGCCACTAATGGTACTGGTGGTGATGGTGTTTCTGCAGAAGTTGATATTGCCGGATAACGAGTAGTAAAGAACGGTACAAAAGAACCGGTACCTAAAAAAAAAAAATAAAAAATTAAATTCCTACCT